GACCAGGGGGTAAATGAGATCTCTAGGCTTAACATTAGTTATCGGAGTACTCCCTTGAGCTAGTCCCGAATGATGTTCCACCGTTGTCTCAAGTTGACCTAACGGACCTATGCTCCACAGTTTATAACAATGACACATATATGGCCACATCAAAGTCATTGAGCCAGAACTTCCCATCATCGGGTTCTCAATGGATTACGGGTGCTCTCCTATAGGACATATTATTACTCCAATATAGGGGTCCTTTCAAGGCATATGTGCACTGGCTCTTCTAAGTCGGATTATACTACAAAAAAGTGGCTTCCCATGCAACTGTAAGGAGACATACCATGGAGTGGTCTCGTGTCAGGGTACGGACTCATGTCCCATAAGTCATGATCATTCCATACAGGGCCGATACTCTCAATTTACTCGAGTTCTATTGTACTCGATTGGTTCTCCTAGCACTGGCCAACCATCACAACCATGAGGCATCTTAATCAATATAGCCCTGACTTGGAAGTGACCCTAACACCTCCTTGAGAGATCACTCTCTTAAAACATAAACATTCATTACCTTATATACTTGGGGTATATGAATTTGGGCCCCAGTGAGCCAAGCACCCATATTGAATCTCTTTATCTTACTCCTGCTAAGTGAAAGACTCTTTGCCTTAAGCCCTTGAAAAGCCATGTGGGTAACATTCTCCCACTTGGCCTTTTGAGGCCCTATAAACAATTCTCTCTCATTCTTATATACAAAGAATAATTAAAGCATACTCAAAACCAAGGTACTCATGTTCATAAAAGTAATGCTTATATCATGCAAGGAAGTAAGTATGAATATCTACGTCAACCTCCATAATATTCTCAAACACTCTTAAGCATATTCAAGCATATCCACAGTTTCAATATCGTCATCATGCAAACATGCTCATGATGATTTCATTGACGCTCGAGATAAATTATCATAAACTATGATCGAAATATTCACATCTTGCACACACTTAATCACATATAAATCACGTGTTGTCCATATGCCATCATTCCATATCATACTCATACTAATGCCTCATATAAAAGTTTTTAGACACTATTCGTAAAGAAATCTCTATTTTCAATACATATGTGCTCATATCTATCTTCTTTTATGCTCTCTCAATATTCATTCATGTATTCAAATACTCACTAGTTCAAATCTCAAGCAACACTTGTTTGTACTCATACAAATGCTCATTAAATTCTCATCATATTTTGTTACTTCTGCATTGTTCTCAAATCTTTCTTAGTCATGGATCGGTACCTTGTCCATTTAAAGGACTTTCATGGGCCAATTTTAACAATTCAAACCTCAAGGTCAAAGAGGTTTACTTACAGGCAACAAAGTAACCAAGCACATTTTAGGTTTGAAACATTTAGGACAATATCTCATACAATGTGGGGCTTAACAATGTTTAATGGATTTGTCTTATATTTTAATCTCATGAACCATCCTTTTGGTAAATACTCAATTGCATCAAAATGAGGTGTCCTAGCCCACATAATGAGGTGTCCTAACATCACTTGGTCATATTATAGTCCATATACAAATATGCAACCCTACGTAAGGTCTCACATGCTAAATAAAAGATTTTCAAGTAAGAAACCGGTAGAGGCTATCCAATGGATCACTCATGTGAAAGTGAATGCATATGATCTCCATGGCATGAAATATATGGACAAGAGAGAATTCTATGTGTTAATCTTATGCAATTAACTATTGAAAAACCAAAAGTCCAACATATAGATGCCTAGCAATTCTCAAAGTTGGCATCTCTTCATGTGACTCAAGTTTTTCAATTTGCAAAAAATCGAAACAAGAATATTTATAATGCAGCGAAATAATATGGCTCCTAGGTTCATAAAAGATAAATTTCAAATAAGAGACCAAACACTCCATTTGGTTTTTCCATAAATAATTCTCATATGATGCCTCTTCTAAAGCTTCTTATAAGTAAAATTGATTTGAGAAATACATTTTCAAAAATTAAAACCAAGGTTCTCCTTTTGAGGATGGTTTTCCCATCTAACTTATCGACTATGCTCCCACTCAAACTAAGAATGTTGGTTTTCAAAACAACTTTGAATTTTGGTTTTGGAAATACAAGTTCCTTTTTAAGAAATACTTTAAAAATCTCAAAAATAAAACTATTCAAATATTGGTGACTATGAGTCACCCCACATAATAATGTGGTCATGACATAATGCTAAAAGATCCTCTATGATCATCTAGATTGAATCTGGGCCCCAGTGCGTCAAGTACTCGAGTTATATGAATCTGGGCCCCAGTGCGCCAAGTACCTAGATTGAATCTCTCTCTTACTTCCACTGAGCGAAAGACTCTTGGCTTTAAAGCGATATAGCCCATACGAACATCCCACACAGGTCTCCTCCACCTATGCCATACGGGATTGAGGCCTTTTAACCTTGTCTCACAATAAGGGAAGCCTAGGAAAAACCCTACTCAAGATATGAGAGCATGAGATAGCATGGGATAGGGCCTGTCTTCATAACTTAGGGTTACTATGGCCTAGGGCATGCCACCCTTTACGGGCCCCACACCCTCTAGTAATTTTAGAAATTAATAAAATGATTTTTAGAGCACAATAAGTATTTTTATTTTCCCTTTGAATGAATTAAATCGAGAAAGTTCAATTTGAGCTGCATAAAAGAGAATTAGCTAAAAATAAAATATCTAGAGGGTTTTAAAAATTCATTTCATATTCTAAGATTCAAATAAGACATATTAAAATATTACAATGAAGTTTTATGGGAATTGGATCTAAAGAGTTAAGGATAACATAAATATACTAAGGCACTCCATCCCTTCTAGAAACTGCATCCCACTATCATCTTCTCAAGCTGACCCAATGGAACCATGACCCATAGCCTATCGCAGGGGTTCATAATTAGTCCATCAAAGCCATCCAAAAAATGAAGGAACACGGTCCTAGCCCATGGATTGCAACTTCCTCCCTGAGGATAAGTCTAGGTCCCATTTAGCGCACACACTCTCTCATAGGACCGTCCAACACAACAGTATTACAAGGAGATATCTCTTTCACATATGTGCACGACATGCTCCTAAGGGTTACTTATTGGACGGCTATCTAATTTACATGCGATGACAATGTTGAGGATTTTGACCCTTCTCCTCTCCGGCCAACCACTGCACACAAGGGTTACATCTAGTCCCCTGGCCAACCACCCTGGACATCTCTCTGACCTCATCAAGGCATGACTCTACAAACTTTTATTGGTTGTGCCATATGCCTAGGGCTAAGGGTTTTAGACATTAACCCGAGCCTAGCCCGTTGAAACTCTGGTGAGTTACGACATTAATAATGCCACACAGTCCATCCAAACCACGCTCCTACTGAAGCCATCATATCAATATATGAAAATTTCAGTACATGGCCTTTTAAGGCCTTTAGGTTGCCACAGAACCCCAACATCCACTTCCCTAACCTCTTTCGGATCACCAGAGATCCCAAATCTTTTTGAAACTAATGGCCATATTCGCTCATGGAACCCAGCTTTCGCGGACCCCTCCGCGATAGAAAGGTCCATTGCTTCCTCGAACTTCCAGCCATCCTTCACCCCCACTACCTCCACCCAAGGAGAGGACAAAATCATTTTGACTCCTCCTTTTGGAATCTTCTCAATGGCCTCCGTTTACCATAAACTAGACTCTTGTAGGTCATCCCATCATTGCTAAGGCTTGGTTAAGTTTTATTCCTCCCAAAATCTAGATCGCCTTGTTGGAGAGAGCACTAACGGCTGACCAACTCCAAAGGAGACGCATGATCCCCAATTGTTGCTCCATGTGCATGGACGATGAGGAAACCAACTCGCACCATTTTGTCCACTGCAACATCGCTCGCCAATTCTGGGACGACGTCCTACACCTGTTCAATTGGACCTGGGCGACCCCTAAGTCTGTACCCCACCTTTTCCAACAGATGCAATTCCTTTTGTGGCCCAAATCAGGCACCATGCTATGGAAGGCCTTTGTGGTTGCAACTCTTTGGACCATTTGGAAATAATACAACCAAAGGATCTTCCAAGTTCAATCCACACATCCTCGGGCCCTATGGGGCTCCATTAAGTCCCCGGTGATATTTTGGCCTATCAACCGTAGTAGATTATAACGTGTACATCTTTTCACTGAATACAAATGTTAATGTGTTCAATAAACTAAGCTAAGGTGTACGATAACGGATTGAGCGAGCATTGGCTCGATCCTAATTTTATCATATGCTAATAATTGACCTCGTTTTATGTATAGTGTAACTTTGATCCCTCCAAGTCTAAACTTCGATCTCAGTAGCATGGGATCTCACTCCCAGGTATTCTATGATCTAGCTCCTTAACTTGTTGAATGTACAGATGTCGATCCTAACCCTAGGACGCTTCCCACCCTATAATGGTTCAATATTCCCCAAACTGATACCGCTCCCGAGCCCGCTCTCCCCTCCAACAACTATGGTAGGGAGCTGTGTAGTGACAATAAAAGCTTTTTTGTTATTTAATTTCTGTTGAAATTTTGCCTTTCTTTTTTTTTGAATGGTAACCTGGAATACAGTGTAAATGGAACTCTAGACATCATCTTGTGACACTTGCCACCTTAACTACCTTTGCCTGAGCCAATTCTTTATTGAAAATTTCAATTATTTTTTATTGCAATTTTCATTTATTTTATTCTTTAAACTTCAAAAACAAATTTATCTAAGAACGTCTTTTTATCCAAGATAAGAAGAGTCTTCCATGTAATAGATGTGCCTTATCCTACAGGAATCTTGTTTTACATATAAATCTTTATTCCTATATACTCCCATGTTCTGCTACAAGGTTGATCTTATGGTCGAAAACCAGTGGTTTTTTAATGCAATTTTGAGAGGTGAAGCTACAATATGAGAAGGCAATCTGCCACTCAGTCGAACTATGCTTTTCAACTGACTAATATGGTTTTCCAATTGAAGGTGGTGTCTGTTACCTTCATTAGTGCTGCTCATGGTCATGCGATCATCCCCGACAAAGTGACATTTGGAGGGACACTCAGGAGTATGACATCTGAAGGACTTTCTAATTTGGCAAGAAGGATCAAAGAGGTAACCAGCACAAAATACAGAAGACTGGCACATTTACGCACTTAAATATCTTAGTATACATACATATATACATATAGCATTTCTAACATGCACACACCATGGGAGACACATAACATGCATTTGAGAAGTAGTCCGTTAATTGTAGGCTCAGCTGCAATATATTTGGTGATTCCTATTACACCTGTATGTGTATGCACTCACACTCAAACACGCATATATCGATGTATATTTCAAATATAGATACTTGCAATATATATGCACCTTAATATATTCTTTCAGTCACATATAGTTTGCATATATATGTAGCTATCTGCTTCCATGTATTTTTAAACAAACTCTTACTTTCATGCATGATGCACACAGGCAAGCTCACATACAAGTATGCTTACATGCATATGAATGTGTGCACATTTCCTTTTTGGGTACAATTCAAACTCAGGACATTGTGTTGCCATTCTTTTTGGGGTAGTTAAGTTGTAGGATATAAACTCCAAGCATTGTGTTACAATTGGCAGCACCTTGACCAATCAAGCTTGAAACTGGATTCCTATACATGCATGTGTACTAATGGATCATTCTTTATGAAGAGTACATAATACATGCATAAGTACCTATGCAAATGCATTCACATATACATCCATACAAACGTACATATGCATATACCTACATTCATAGAGTACATAGCTGCACAAATGATGGATAATTCTCCAATGACAGGTGATAGAGGCCCAATCTGTGGTGCACAGGTGCAGTGCATCCATTGATTTCATGGAGAAGATTGGGAGACCCTATCCTGAAACACTGAATGATGACGGGATGTACATGCATGTGAAGCGGGTTGGGGAGAGCTTGCTTGGTGAGCACAATGTTCACTTGAGCCCACCAGTTATGGGTGCTGAAGACTTTGGCTTTTATTCACAAATTATCCCTAGTGCAATGTTTTGGTTGGGTATAAGGAATGTGAGTGTTGGGTCCTATCACTCCCTCCATTCTCCACACTTTTTCTTGGATGAAAATGCCCTTCCTATAGGTGCAGCGTTGCATGCTGCAGTGGCAGTGGCTTATTTGGAAAGTCAGGCTTCGCGCTTTCACTAGGCGAGGGACATTTTGTCTTTTGGACCTCCTTGGTGAGAGAGCATAGGTTATGTGGTTGGAGGAGATCGATGTGGTTTCAGATGGTTTGGTCATTCTAATGTAATGGCATTTTCATCAGTTTCTAAAAATTATTGACATTTTCATAATGCTCAAGCAAGTTATTTTGATTTTGGGCAAAAAGTGTGGAAGAATTTGGGACTCTTATGATAATTGGGATCATTTGATAGAAGCTAACAAGCCACATCGTCAATTGCAAGGCCTAAATTTGGGTTGTTTCCATCAATTGTAAAGTATGTTTTCAGATCATGTAAAAGCAAAATTGTTCTCAGTTTACAAGTAGGGAATTTGTTTCTAAAAGTTGATTTAGCAATATAAGCCTGCTACTGTACTTCGCGGTACTCTCTTCCAAATTAAACAGTAGACTGATGCAGCTGGACTAAGGGTTCAGTTTGTTTCCCAGGAAAAACTCTCTGAGAAAGTTTTTCCTCGGTAGATTTTTGCTCTCGAGTGTTGGTTTCATGTGAAACCTCTTGGCAGTATAGCGACTAGTGCAAAATATTCCTTCTTTCTTCTTTCTTGGTCGTTAGTAGAAAGTTGTCTGGGAACAAACTCTCCCAGAGACCCCAGAAAGTGCTTCCTGCAAGCACACCCTAAAACTCAAGATAGCTCTCTACATGTGGAGTTGTGGACATCCACACAATCTATTCAGGTTAAATCTGATTGTCCAAATATCAATGCCAAATCACAAATCCAGTCTAGGCTATTGGTTATCATGCTCAGCACCCTATTAGATGGCGAACATCAATGAGGAATTTCTCACATTAGAAGCTAGTACTTTTAAGGACTTTGCAAACCTCCATCAGCTGCTGCACAAAACATGAACACCAACACTGCTACATATACTATAACAGTCACCAAGAGATATCTAGAATTTGGTTTTCCTATTTTCGTTCTCTTTGTTTCTTTTTTTTATTATCCAATGTTGTTTTCGGGTGTTTAAGTTTCTTGATACTAACGTTTCTAGGATAGGTAAGTTGGTTTTGAGGTATTGGATTGGTTGCAATGCGAGGCTGTTTATTAGAATATTCTAATTATTATAAAATAAAAATTTTCATCAAGGAAAGATCTGCCCTTCGAGGCTCAAGGGATAAAAAATAAATAAATTTCTGGTCCGGTTGGATCAAAAAAACTTCTCAAGCTATCAGAGAAAATTCTTTAGATTCTTCAACTTCGATGAAATTGAAATAAAAATAATAAATTAAAAAATATAGTATGATATACTACTCAATTTGATTGAATAAAATTTAAATATTGAAATTCAATCCATTATGAGTCAAAGATTTCCTATCTATCCTTGTTCAAAAGAACCAATTTAAGTGAAAGGTCCACCTTTTTTGTTTTGTTTTATTTTAAAATTTGTTTGTTTTTATGTCATGTCATTCATAATGTACAATTCCTTTGTTTGTGGGATCAGTTTCTTCGAGGAGAAATGAGAAGAATTATAAAGTAAAGGGGATTGCTAGATATGCCTAGATCTCGGATAAATGGCAATTTTATCGATAAGACCTGCAAGACAAATTTAGTAGTATTTTTTATTTTTCTTTGTTTAATTTAAGATTGTATTTTTGGAGTTTTGGGTTTATTTTTAGTTTTTTAATAATTTGGAAGATTTTAGGGGCTATTCGGTTAGGTTTGTTATTGTTATTAGGCATTATTTATTTTGTTAGAGCATAAATTTATCATAACAAATTATGCTATAATTAGGAGCTCTATTTCAATTAAAATTAGGGTTTTTAAGGTTTTTATGGTGAGTTTAGTCTATAAATAGAGGTTTAAGGTTTTAGTTTGAAAGTTTGGATAGTATTTGGTTCGTGACACCTAGTTTAACCAAAGAGTTAGAAGCTTGGCTTATAAGCTTCTTTAAATTTTCAATCAATTCATTAGATATTTGGCTTTGTTTTTCGTGTGTGGTATCGGAGCTCAAGGGTTTGCCATCATTAGTTGGTATTAGAGCAATACTCATTCTCAGAGTGCTTGTGCGTGATAGTTGTTAGAGGATGTTGAGTTTGTGGTAGTGGTGACAAAGTTACATAAGAGGAATTCAATGATCTAAGAAGGAGAATTGAGAAATTCGCGTGTAAGTTATGCATAAAGCATTCGAAGTAGAACGGGAGAGAGAGAGAGAGAGAGAGAGAGATTTGTATTTCTGCTTCTTTTATTGGAATGAAAGAGACTTATTTTTTTTTTTGAAAGGAATGAGACATTGGCTAACAATGTCATCATCATCGTCAAAGTCTTTCCCAACTAAATGGGGTCGGCTATATGAATCTTGGTTCGTCATTCTGCTTTATTAAGGGTCATACCTCAGTGAGGTCACAAGTCCCCATATCTTTTCTCACTACTTCCAACCATGTCTTTTTGGGGTACCCAACCTTCCACTTGAACTAACTCACACCTCGTAACAGGTGTTGTATTGGGTATGCGCCACACATGGCTAGCCTACCCAAGTCTATTCTCTCATCTTATCATGTATTAGTGCAACACCTAAATTTTTTCGAATGTATTCATTTCCAATTCTATCCCTTCTTGTCTTGCCACTCATCCATCTCAACATCCTCATCTCTGCTACACTCATTCTATGGGTATATTATTTTTTACCCTCCCAACATTCCGCCCCATAGAGCATATCTTATAGAACTTGCCCTTGAGCTTCATTGGTATGCAGCGATCACATAAAATTCTTGTTGCACATCTCTACTTTATCCATCCACTTCTAATTCTATATGCGACATCTTCCCAAATCTCTCTGTTTTCTTAAATTATCGACCCAATATATCGAAAGTGTGCACTTTTTGGTATTTCATAGCCGTCATTCTTAACTACTTCCTCGTCTCTCTACTCTTATTATTACTAAATTTGCATTCCATATACTCTGTCTTAGTTCGGCTGATTTTAAAACCTTTAGATTCTAGAGCATCCCTCCAAAGTTCTAGCAATATACACCTGCTAATATCATTTATAACACTCACTTCAATATAGTAGCCACTTAAACTCTGGACAGCTATCAACAATGTGAATGTCCACTACAATCTCTTTGCGGTTACATTGACGCCCTGATAGTCTAAATTGCGACGCAAAACAAAATGTCAAATCTAGACCATTGGTTTACATGCCTATCTGTCTTTTGGGCGGCTAGCATCAGCCATGATTTTTTGACATCTCAAGAGTAGATGAGGACCACACAAACCTCCATTATCTACTGAGTAAAAGAAGCAAATACTGCCACAAAAACTATTGCGATTTGCCAAGACCTAAAATTTTGTGTGTGTGTGGGTGCGCAGGTATTTAACTCTCACAGCAAAATGGTAGATAAGAACCTTCCAAACCTGTACGACCTCATAAGCTAAAGAATGAAGTAAAGCAACTCTGCCACCAAAACCACAGCAATCAGTAAAAGAAACTTAGACTTAGGTTCTTTCTCCTACAATTTCCTTCAATTTCTCTCTGCCTCCTGTTAACAACACCAGTCTGTTCATGTATTTGTAACCCAATTTTCCTAAATGCAGTACCCTGAAAAGAATGCATTCAAGTAGGCTTTCACCCATGATGTCAAAGAAGTAATTGTTATCGAACTCGTTATATGGTGATGTGAGTTGTGCAGAAACATCTCGGTTTATTTTACTTCCTTGATAGTCATGGCTGGCTGTTCCTTGAGTGAAATTGATCGGATATGAATGCAATGTTGTGATAGGTCTAGTCCAATTGAAGGAAGGGCACTTTCCATGATGGATTGCTTTGAGAACAACTGGAATAAGCATGAAATAAGAGAGAGAGAGAGTCAAGATACATATCCACTTCATAATTGAACTTTAGCACCACTGCAGTTTCCATCAGGTAATCCATTTGTTTAGACAGCACAAGCAGACGGCTTTCCTTGGAGTCAAGGCATGACTACATGGGATTGTCAAGAAACAATCCGATGTTGGCAGTTTGGTCAGATACATTGTTCTTTATCGCTTTCATCTCTTCTTCTATTTCTCTCTCCAACTGCTTTGCCATGATGCTGATTTGTGTATTGTCTTATGGTGAAGGATGAGCATTGGCAGGATATAAGGCCCTGCAACTTTGATTATGGTTCACCAAATTGCAATCTATCATAGATACCCCTCTTAAAAAGGAAATAGAGGACGAAACAATCCTGTATAAATCATATAGCAAATCACTAATCACTTAATGCTGAACTTGCATCTGAGAAAGGATCCTATATAATTTAGAGGACTACAGGAGGACAATTGGATCATCACCGTCCACCACATGGAATGGTAATGACTCCATAGGATTATGGGTCTACAGGATCAATTGGATATATCATACTTCTGTTTGCAATCACCGTGGTTATAACAAGTAATTACATGAATAAATGATTCAATAATGGATTATTAGTTCTGAGGCCAAAATTTTGCGTGGTGATGGAAGCATGAGATAGAAACCAGAATCATGACAGGTTATAATCGGGGACTTCCTAAGCTAGCACTTCAATTCTTTGGGCTCCTATGTCTATAGTATGTTTTATTTATTCCAATTTCCTCAACGATATTCTCAACACCTTTTTGACTATTTCCTCAAGACTTTCTGTTTTGTGCTTGGAATGATTCCTCTTATTGACACATAGAAAGGGGCCTTGTCTTCTTGTTGCATCTCCCCTTCTCATTCTTCTTTCATGTCTTATTTAGTGTTGCCTTCTTCATCTCCCTACCATTCATAGATTTCATTTCAAGGGATCATCGGAGTAATTTCATGGCTCCACCTCTTTAAATGGGGTTGAGATACTATTGAAGTGGCTTCCTCACTTTAAAACAATTGTTGAAGAGTTCCCCAAGTGAAGTAAGGGAGAGTGCAGTTTTGGATGATGAGCCAATGGTCACCTTCAATTTGGTAGCATATCTATGTTTGTGAGTGAGAAAAGATATGGGGACTTATGGCCTCACTGAAAGTATAGCCCTTAATAGAGCAGAGTGTCAGACCAGGATTCGTGTAGCTGACCCCAATTAATTGGGAAAAGGCTTTGACAATGATAATGATCTATGTTTCTGAGTGCTCTTTGTGGTTTTCGGACACAATGTCCTAGGCTTTCCTTTGATTCTCAAACTCAAGCTGTAATAATCAAGGA